GACCAGAGGATGTACATTGGTACAGATAGCAACTGGAAACACAGGGAATCCAGGATAGATGACTCCTTCAGGACCAGTGGTGAGAAGGGCGATGCCTGGAGGGTTAAGGGAATGTGGGGTAGAAAGGGGGAATCAATTATAAGAATCTAAGTATAGCCTCCTCCCTGGGGGAAGGACAGCAGAGGGTAGAGGGAGAGGTTGGACAGTGTAACTTATGACAAAACTATAATAATTTATGAATTATGAAGGGTTCATGAAGGACAGCAGAGGGTAGAGGGAGATGTTGGACAGTGTAACTTATGACAAAACTATAATAATTTATGAATTATGAAGGGTTCATGAGGGAGGGAGGAGTGGTGAGGGAGGGGGGAAATGAGCAATTGATATTAAGGGCTAAAGTAGAAGGCAAATGTTTTGAGAATGATGAGGGCAACAAATGTACGTATGTGCTTGACAAAAATGGATGTATGTATGGACTGGTGATAAAAATTGTACGAGCCCCCAATAAAATAATTAAAAATGACAAAAAAATTTGGGAAATGTAACACGCCTTCAAGAACAAAGAAGAGGGCATAAAATGTTGTGAACAGATCCAACAACCCCAGCCGTGTGTAACTACTTCCTGAAGGAAGAAACAAATGGTGTGCTGCTCTGCAGCCCGTGCTCACACTGTGCTGCTCAGGCTTTTGGCACCTGGCTCCCCCCACACTCCCCCCGGGACAGGCGGTGTCCGGGTGTTAACTGGGTAGCTACTGTGACTTTTAAGTGCCAGGTGCTTTTTTGTTTGGGTTTTGGGAGATGTGTTTTGTACATCTTATTTCTGTGCACAGAGGGCCAAGAAGAAAAGGTTTTCCATTTTTGCTGACGCATCCAGGAAAAGCAGCCCACCATCATGATGCTAGAATTCTTACAAAGTCCCCAGTCAAAGCTACGGATTAAGATGCTGTGCGCTTTACCAATGATAACTGCTGCTTCTGCTGTCACTACTCAGCCGTCCCGTCCACGTGTCCGTCCTCAAGCACAGAGTTAATTATCAGTTACGGGCCAGCTCAGCCTAGTCTTCAAATAACAGTTTGTTACTATTATTAAGTGTGCTCTGTACAATAATAGAAGTAGTATATTGTTTGTTAGCTGTTTCTGGAGTTAAAGTTTTTTAACAGTGCCAGTTCACTAACCAGGAAGACGACTACTCTGGTTACAAAAAAAAGAAGTTACTAACAAAACTTAAGTCACTTCTTCTAAAAGCAAAGCTGAAAAATAAGAGTCTAGTGATATTTCTGCCCTGACATGTAAGTAACACCATAAATAAACAAAATAAAAATGTTAACATATTATTTGTGCACAATTGGATGGGACGTCTATGGTTCAATTAAAGCAATAAAAGAGAACAAAGCCAACATTTTAGTAAAGCACAAAGTCATTTTATTTTGGGTTCCATAAAGATGTCTACAACATTTATAATTATCTTCCCTTCATGCCTTTAAAATTATATATATGTAGGAAAAGAAAATGACTTCAAAGTTCATTAGCGCTCACCGATTCTTAGTAAACCAAAGGGAAATGACACGTTAAAAAAACAAACAAAAACCCCACAGCAGCAGTTTGTGTAGTCGTCCACAGTGGCCGTCTTCTCTGCTTGCTTGCTGGCAGGAGCTGTGTTCCCCCACTCTGTATGGGAAGCTGCACCTCCACGGTCCTCAGCTCTTTGCTGAACTGCTCTGCCCATCCAAATCCAAGTTATTTACCTTCGCAGAAAGCTTATCCTTTTCCCTCAGAGAAATGACCACAACTTGAATTATACCTACAGTTGTTTTGAGCCCTGGTGGCATAGTGGGTTAACACTGAGGCTGCTGACCACAAGGTTAGCAGCTTGAAACCACCAGTCAACTCTTTGGGAGAAAGATGAGGCTTTGTACTCCCATCAAGAGTCACAGTCTCAGAAACCCACAGGGGCAATTCTACAATGTCCTAGAAGGTCACTAAGGGTTGACATCAACTCCATAGCAGTGAGTTTGGTGTTTAGTGTCGGCTCGCTCCAAGAGGACAAGGACCAAGGGTGTCTTGCTCAGTGCTGAAACCTAGCACCTAGCATATAGTAGGTGCCCACTTTGTGACTCAATAAACAATCAGGTAATCGGTCACTTTTAAAAACCAGGTCATCTCCGTGGAAATGCCTGTGAGCCTGTATGAGGAAGAGGACTATGAGGCACACACATGGTGATGGGCCTTTTAAAGGCTCTCATTGCTCCTGCCTTCCATGGGCCCACACCCTGCACGGGAGTACATTGCTGCTCACCACTTCCCCAGACATATCAGTCCTACTTACTGAAATTACTTGATCCAACTCAGATTACTTGTTCCAAAATACACAGAAAGCTGGTAAAAAGGCTGGTGTCTAATAACAGTAGTTTCTAACATTCAAACCAAACCAAACTCACTGCCATTCAGTCGATTCTGACTCAGAGACCCTATGGAACTTAGTAAAATTGTACCTGCAGGTTTCCAAGACTGTAACTCTTTATGGAAGGTCTCCTCTTTCTCCCACAGAGCAGCTGATGGTTTTGAACTGCTGGCCTGGGGATACCACCATCAGGGTTCTTTCTAATGGCCAGAAGTCATTAATACCTACAGTTTCCTAACCATTCATTTGTTGGCCAGAGACATCTAACAAGAACTAGGAACTGTGTGAGTAGTGAGCTCCTTTAAAATACCAGCAATATGAAACCAAATGGTCAAAAAATACTCTCAAGCAAGAAGAGAAGGAAAGGGAGCAGGGAAACTAGAGTAATGGAAATAGTACAACCAGAATGGAATGAATGAGCACAATGGAATCATATCATGGAAGAATTTGGAGAGACTGCTGAGAACCTAATTTACAATGAAATTTTTACCTTAAACCCAACAAACTACTATTTTTAAAATGGTGCTATTAAGGACAGAAGCCCTGAGAGTGAGATGCAGTGGAGACAAGAGAAGAACACAGCCGTGTTACAGGGAACAGTCAACACAAGAGGTTCATATCAGCAATCCTCCACCTCAGAGCCCTGCTTTCTCAGCTGATGCTACAACAGTTTCCAAATTTTAATGCACAGCACGTCAGCACGTATTAGACAGACTGAGTTAAACTCTTTTCAAACCAACCCAAACTCACTGCCACCAAGTGACTTGGTGACTCACAGGACTCAAGAGGACAGAGTAGAACTGCCCCTGTGGGTTTCCAAGATTGTAACTCTTTATGGGACTAGAAAGCTTCATCGTTATCCTGCAGAGTGGTTCGTGGTTTCAAACTGCTGAACTTGTGGTTAGCAGGGCAAGGCATAACCCACTAGGCCACCAGGGCTCCTGCTCTTTCCAAACAGATGCACTGAAATAGTCTTACCTCCGTTTCTGTGAGAAGTGTTTTCAGTCTTGTCAAATCTTTTGTTACCATCCCATTCTGAATGGATGAATAAAAAAGAGAAAACCAGTTAGTATATTGGCCCTTTGTTTCTAAAGCTTACCTATAAAACACAACGCTATCCTCACTACCATGCCCACCATCATTAGCAATGATAATAAAGCTATCAATTTATGGGAAAAGTTCAAGGTTAATAGGACAAACTATAGTGTGCTCCTTTTGGTGAGTAAAACACTGTCGTTCACTTTACACAAACACAAACCCACTGCTGTCAGGTCCACACCAACTCATGGTGAGTCTATGGAGGGTTTCTGAGGCCATAAAGCTTCACTGAAGCAGTCAGCCTCAATTTTTGACAGCAGTTTAAAATTAATTAAATAGAACAGTCACAACAGGTGTCATGGTAAAGCAAGGCAAGCTAAGGAAGGAGAAAAATAACACTGAAACTTTGTAAACCTTTCTTTCCTTAATCATATGTGTATCAGCAAAATGATCAACTCAAACCACGTGACTCAGGAAAACTCACATCAAAAGGATCATGGCCCTTTAAAGAGGGTCAAGAGGGTCACTAATGACGTTTGGCAGGAAAATGAACAAAATATTTTTTCCCACTATTCATATCTCACTTGAGATTTAAAAGCAAATTACTTACTACTTTAAATTTCTAAACCCAAAAAGTAAACCTAAAATATGCCTCCATGATACAGAAAACTCCTTAAGGATAGAAATACCTTAATAAGGAAGAGATAGTCTTTATCAACTAGTTGAAACTATTTACTTAATTTTATTATACTGATTACTGTATATAATCGTGTATAAGTCGAGTTTTTCAGCACATTTTTAATGCAGTTTTTTTGTGTTAAAATTAGGTGCCTCGGCTGTTATTCAGGTCAGCTTATACTCGAGTACATATTTTAGCTTTTAAATTTGTAAATCTAGACATTGTTAAATCAATTTAACAATTCAGTATACATGAATGCCTCAGAAGATGACAATTCCTTTGAGATTGATTAATACACTGTACTCCACAAAGCACCAGATAGTTTAATTTCTATATTTTTGACCAAATATATTTGTTTAGAGTCAAAACGCTTTAGATCTAGATTTTTATCAGTTACGTGAATTCAGATTAACAGGGAGTCCACGCGGTGTAGCATACACATCACTCTATTGCCATCATTTTTCACTGTATTTCCCCCCAAAAGTCAGCGAACTTAATGACAATTACCAACTGGTGAAAAGGGTTGTATATGCTTTCTTCCAATATTTATAACTGACCATTTCTGAAGTTCCCAAAAGTATTCTTTTCCATTATCTCACTATCAACAACTCAAAAACTCTAGGAAACTAAATACTATATGTAAAAAATTATCCAAAGTTTTTCAATAGAATTAAATCTATCATTTCTATCAGAATGGTCATGAATGTTAACTTCTAGGCATATCATCTTCAGGACCAAAAGTAATCCTTAGTTTAAAAGATTTAAAACATCATATGAAATAAATGGCTGGATTTTAGAATCCTACAGTTCTCATCCACATGAAATTTTGAAAGATGGAAATATGTTCAGATTCTGTTAAATTATATCTTTAATGAAAATCATTTATTTGAAATTTTTTTTAAAAAATTGTTAGTCCCTATAGCAAGGCCACCTACAAAAGTACAAGTTTTGATCTCTAATCATCTGGAGCAAAGAATGATGACAATCAAAGGTACAGGAAACAGCCCAGTAAACTAATGGACCATACGAGTATCGGTCTCCATGATCCTGCGAACAAAAGTACTAGATGGGGTCCGGCTACCACCACCAACTGCTCGCAAAGAAACCACATTAGAAAGTCATGAATAGAGTAAGGGAAATATGGAACAAACAAAATCTTAAAAGGACCAGGCTTACTGGTTGGATGGAAACTGGTGGAACTATGGGCAAGACTATGGCCCTTAATTACCCTCCAGGTCTAGAATGGAACTTAACCCCCTCCCCACTGTGGCTTAGTTTCCAGTCAAACACTAGACAGAAGAACAAGAACTCTAGTGAAATATACCTTCCCTAAAACAACCAACTCTGAGATCAAAAGAGCAGCAAAATCCAGAGTTAGGAAAGGAGGGACGGAAATGGAAACAGGGAGGAACCGAGGTACAGGATGTTACATTGTGAGGACTGCAATCGATGAGCTGAAACAAAATGTGCATGAGTTGTTGAAAGGATAACTGTTCTTCTTTGATATCTTCATCTAGTTCACAGTGAAAGTTGTGTGGTTATAAACTGTAAGAATGCAGTAGTTAAACATCAGTTTATGCATAAGAATTTAAGTATCTCTAGACACTTCGCTCAAGAATTTCTCTATCTCGGAGGAGGAAATATGGGGAAACACACACACTGATTATTTTTTCTCATTGGATGTCTCCGGAGTCCAGTGTGAATCCATTTTCAGGCAAGCAAAATAGAACTCATCAACGTACCAGGGACTCTCCTGACAGCGACTTGGCAAGAATGCTGGATACCAGTTGGAGCTTCCCCTTCAGCTGCATGCAGCAAAGCACTGCACGAAAGGCACCGTCTCCCTTGGCCAGTCCTTCACTCAACACTGTCACAAAGAACAATCACCATTAACCATTGTTCTGGAATATAATATTAACACATTATCACAAGCACAGCTTCTTATGCACTGAGAGAATACAAGTCCTAAAGGAAAGCAGTGGTGTTTCAGAACTGTCCAAGGCGTTCATGAGGCCAAAAAAAAAGAGACGGGGCAAATCAACAGAGCTAACCCACTCCACTAGAGCAGGGAGGATCACACCGATATCGCAGAGAGAAGAATTCCATTTACAGCTCTCTGTCAGCTATGTGTTCCGGGTGAGTGAAGGCTTTTATATTGCAGAGATACTAGCTGAATAAGGTTCTCACATTTTTGACAGTGGCACATGAGACACTGTGCCATTAAGAAGTCTAAGAAGAAAGAATGCAAATCTCAGCATTAGATATTCCTACACAATCCAGAACTAGCCTTTATCAAAACCAGCAAAAAATTTAATGGCCATAGAAAATGCTAACCAAATTGTTGGCAAGTGTCTGCAGATTTAATGCAATATAGTCACAAGGAGCTAGCTCCTAACAATACAGAATATACTAATTTTCATGCCGTGTCATTTAAGATGATTTCTCACAGCTACTGCTGATGGCTCAGCTAGCAGGGCAATCAGTATCCTCTTTACTGCTAAGTCCAGGATTCTATTATTAGTTTACACATATTTTCGCTTCCTCGGCAAGAAAACAATTTGCTGAAAGGAAACATTTTGGAAATTACATTTTTTCCCCTAATTATTTCCAGGGAGATTTCTTATAAGCATTAGTATATCACATCACATATTTAAAGTCCATTGAGTCTGTTGATATTATTATGGTTGTAATGAGGATAGCTTCCCATTATACTGTTCAACTTTTTATCACTCAAACTACATTACAGCAACACTCATAAGATCCTACATAAAAAAAAGCAAAGTTCACCACAAGCTCACCATTCAACTAGTCAAACTGTTTCCAACTTAGTAATGTCCTCAATTTTTATCAATACATGACTTCAACTGATGTAAAATTAACAGTTTGTATTCTGCTTTCTCACCCTCGGCACATTCACTACATCCCATTATGAGAGTGATGATATTTATCATGTTATTGGCTACATAATGCTTCATTAAATGAGTACATTAGTTTATTATTTAACCAATCCTTGTTCCAGAACAATTCTAACTTTCACCTATGAAAACTAACACTGTAATCAGTGGCTTCACTTCTATGTCCTTTACTAGATCCAATTAAGTAAACTGAAAGTTGTGGGCTCTCTTTATGTAAGAAGGCTTTATTTATTCAATTACTTCTAGTTAGGGCTAACCTCTTGTCTCATTCCATCCACACTGCACATCGATCATCTATCTATTTAACTGTTATTGAAGAATTCTAGTAAGTAACTCCAATAGAGTATCATTACGACTATTTTGAACATCTTATGAAGTTCCAGAGAAAACCCGACATCTCCCTCAAATCTCATTATTCCTAAAACTCTTCAAATATGTCATCTTGTCTCCCCAGCCCTCAGTTTGATCACCTGTGAAATAGGTCTATGGGCAAATACACTGTGAGGATCTAAGAGACGGCAAGTAAAATGCTTTAAGAAAAAAATGCAGTTCCTTCTAAGGTCCAGATCACTAGCATTTGCTAAGCCGATTTCCTCTGCTGGAAGAGCTACCTCCTAGGGTTGTGATGAAGATTAACGGTGAGAATTCGATAAAGTGTTTAGCACAGATTCCTGCTTGAGAAACCACTCCCGGATGTGACCTTCCTCTTCTAAAAATCATAGAGCAGCACTGAGAACTGCATAAGAGCTACCCTAGTTCCTTTTCAGTTACTGGGATATTAAATTAAGAAACTCATCATCACAAGCAGAAAATGCTCAAGGAAGTGAAAACAAAAACAATCCAAGTGTAAATCAATCTCAGATGATTATGGCGTGCTTGTTATTGTTGCTGGACGCTAGCAGGTCGGCCCCAACTCCACCTACAACCACATGGAACTGCCTGGTCCTGAGCCATCTTCACAATTGTGTGTGAGGCCACTGTTGCAGCCACAGGGTCTTTTAAGCACTTTCCCACCTGAGGGGCTCATCTTCTGGAACAACATCTGATGCTTTCCATTAGGTTTTCAGTGACCAAACCTTCCAAAGCAGACAGCCTATTCCTTCTTCCCAATCTATGAGCTCCACTAAAACCTGTTCCCAATGGATGACCCTGCTGGCATTTGAAATATTGGTGGCATAGCGTCCTGCATCAGAGCAACACCCAAATCACCCTAATTCAGCAAACTGACAGACAAATGGTAGGTAGCATGCTTCTCGCAAAATACTTTACAAACACCTTGCACCAATCTTTGTCGCGTATAAGACATGTGCTGAATTTTGTTTTGCAGGTTTTTCCATTCATTTGTGTTTGAATGTCTCAATAATTAACAAAACAGTGTTTCCCTTCTCTCTTCTAGACAGGAGTACTGATGTACTTTCTTCCAAAAGTTGTCTTTAAACGAAATTCCGTTTGCTCTAGGAGGATCCTACATGAAGAACCCTGCTGCATGTGCACAAATGTGTGTACATACACACATACGTACACACACACAACCAGTCAATTAGTATAGATGAAGAGCTGTCTGCTACTATCCCACAGAAAATTAAATTGCAATGCTGCCAATATGGTACCTTATTCTCTTTAGTATTTAGAAAAGGCAAGAATGAAAACAAAGTATGGGTTCCTGCATTATTAAAAGTCTCGGATGTAACAACTGAACATGTCAAAAACAGATGGCATTCAAAATATGATCTATCTTGAGCAACTGTATTTTTAAAAACTACAGTTCTTGCAGATAAATTCTCTCCCTCCAAGTGGCAGTGAGCTTTTACTGTAAGCCCATAACTGTTCCTAATGGAATCACTGCTTTCTGTCCACAGGGAGTTACCCACAGAGGAGGACATCTACAAACTTTAGCTTGTTGCTGCATTTGAGTTACTTACTATCCTCTCTCGTTCATTCTTTAACCTCTCTCATTCTTTAATTCTTGCAGTATTTTTAAACATTCAAAATATACGTGTCTTACTTGGAGCATGTTGAACCAGAAACTAGCTAAAGGAGAATTAATTCATTCAACTTCTTCAACAAAAATAAACCCATTTTGTGTTTGATAGCCTGGGGTATCAAAAGGAGAGGATTAACAATTAAAATGCAATTCTCCAGACTTGCAACATGAATGGTAATAATCTTAAAATACGCTTAACCTGTTAATATGCATGCAGTTGAGTGATTCCGACTCATAGCGACACTGTAGGACAGAGTGCACCTGCCCCACTGGGTTTGCATGGATGGCATCTTTACAGGAACGGACTGCTTCATCTTTCCCCGAGGGGCAGCTGCAGCTGGCGGGTTCAAATGGCCCTTTTAACATCCAAGCTCTTTACCACTGCACCAACAGGGCTTCTCAAGATAAGCTTACAATAGAAAATACTGGGTATTGTTCTGTATGCCTTCTGTTACATGACCATAGCAGGAATTACTTTGATCACCTCTGTAGTTGTAGCTAAAGTCTTTTAGCATAGGGCAAATCAAGGTATTTGTAAAATTATTTCAAAACAATTTTTTAAGTTACCAATAAAATTGCATCCTTTGGTCACTAATAAAGGGAAATGACTCTCAGTAGTGTATCAATAGCCTTTACACAGAGCACAAGCAGCTGTTGCTGCTTTGGGGGACCATGAGTTGGTCCAGGCTCATAGTGACCTCCAAATTTATCCCCAACATTTGTCGTAACAATTATTCTTTACATAGAACTCACAGGACGGGCATCTCTCCATGTTAAAATTCACATTGCTTTTACTACTTTTTCATTGTTCTTGCTAGGTGCTGTCAAGTCGGCTCTGACTCATAGTGTTCCTACACACAACAGATTAAGACTCCGCCAGGTCCTGCACCACCCTTACCATTTTTCTTATGTTGGAGCCCAAAGTTGCAACTTTTCATCAGAGTAGTACAATTAAAATACTAAATGACAAATAACTTCACATGCCACATTTAAGAATGTTACAAGATAATAGAGATACTTCTAAGATGTTATGTGCCAATAGAGTTGATATTTTTATCACTAATCAGGATCCAGATTTCTAGTTAGGAAAAGAATCTGGTTGGCTCCGTGTGGATATAAGGATTGAAAGGAGCAAGGGAGAAAACAATGTGTGTAAATAAAGATTTCTCAGGGTGAAAATCTTGAGGTCAACAAAATATAATTAACTTTCTGAAAACTTAAATATTATTTTTTAAGCAAACAGCAGCCTTTCTACAAGCAGAAATGACTCTTCATACATATATTTAATGTAACAATATGCACATGACAATTTCCACCCCTATCCACCTCTGTCACTTGATTACCAAATAAGTACACTATCTGAAAATTAATTTCTCAGTATTTAATATGTGATCTCCTTTAGGCTACTTTTTGAAATATTAGAAACATGTAAATACCTTCTCTGTAAAATTATCCTCCAGCCAAAACTTTAAAAAATCTTTCAATCTATAACTGAATCAAAAATGAAAATTTTTAAAAAGAAATTCCTTAAAAATTCCCTTTCTAAATCTTCCATTTGATTTTTGGCAAAAAACACACACACACACAAAACTAAGAAATGTAGATACACAACACAACACACACATACATACACATACACAGATCTAGGTATGTAGCTCCTTTCCAAAAGTATATAAACAGGCTCCAAACAGTGAAAGGTCTAAATCCCATTTGCTAACTGAAGGGTAGCTGCCCGTCTGTGACAGGGATCACAGATCATGACAAAAGCCGAACAGTAACACAGGAGCAAGTCTATCAGCAGTGTCTCTTTTGCCAAATAGATTTTTTTTTCCCTTCCCTATTCTCCTTTTTGCCCGGTAAAAATAAATAAGTGCTTCTGTGGACATGTGGGCTGCAACTCTTGTGGCATTTTGTGCCCTTTCTACCAAGGTCTGTTCCGTCTATCAGATGCCCATGGGATAATAAGCC